AGGGGAAAGGGAGGAATAGGGGAGAAAAGGTACAGGGAAGAAGCGGCATAATTAGTAGGCATAAAATAAATGGGGGGAGAGAAAAAATGGTATAGGAAACAGAGGACTCAAAGAACTTATATGTACAACCCATGAACATGAACTAAAGGGGGTGAATGCCAGGGGGTTGGCGGGGAAGGGTGGAGGGGGGTATAGGGGGAGAAATTGGGAAAACTGTAATAGCATAATAATAATAAATACTTTTTAAAAACGTGTACACAAATGCTCATACTAGCTTTATTCAAAATGCTAAAAATTGGGAACAACCCAAATGTTCTTCAACTAGTGAATGGATAGACAAACTGTGGAATACTACTCATCAATAAAAAGAAAAATTGCCCAGGGGACCGGCCTAGCAAAAAAAAACGCCTGGTATCCCTAATAGGCGGTTTCTTTCTTCCTTCCTCAAAAAAAAAAAAAAAAAAAAAAAAAAGAAACAAATTACTGATAACCACAACAATGTACATGAACCTAAAATTCATTTTACTCTGTGAAAGAAGCCAAATTCAAAGACTGCACATAATATGATTCCTTTTGCATACTATATTTTGCCACGTATAATGTGCACTTTTTTGCCCAAATTTTTGAGGGAAAAAAATAAGGATGCACATTATACATGGGTATAATGATTACATACCATGGGTATAATGTGCACAAAAACATGGGTGCACATTATACACAGCAAAATACAGCAACATTATGAAACAGGAAAATCTCTGGAGACAAAAAATAGACTGGGGATAGCCAGGGCCTCGGAAAGTGAGCAAGGACATTAACTGCAAAGGGGACTGAGGACACAAGGGGAGGCCAGGGGAGGCAGAGTGGGTGTGTTAGAAAGCATGAAGGTGACAGTGGCTCCGGGGTTGTATGCATTTGTAAAAACATACAAGCAAACACTAAAATGGGTGATTTTTATTATATGTAAACTACACCTCAGCTACACCTCTAAACTACACCTCTAAACTTTCTAATCAGATTAGAAACCTGATTTCTAATTTGTTTAAAAAACACATGGAACAGCAAAAATGAAACTCAAGCTTTAATGAGCACTTCTACATATTCTCAGGCATCCCACATGCCCGTTGCCACTTAAACATCCCTCACCTCCACCTGCACCACCATTCTACCAAAAAAGGATTACTCTGAGCCTCAAGTGAACCAAGATGAAAGTCTACTAAACTCTCATCCTTTAAACAAATGTGCGATTTTTTAAGTGGTGCTAGTATTTATGAACATTGCTTCTTGTAATTACCGACAAAGTCTGAAAGTCCTTATCAAAATGACTAGCATTTTCTAAGTTTTAAAGGTAAAGTATAGATGTAAATTCCAATCATATCATTGGATAATATAATTTGTACTTCTAGATTTCAGCTCTTGTCCTGATTTTGTGTAACAAAAATACCACTTAAACTCCATAATTCTATAAAACATTCCATGGCTCCTACCAGCTACTGCAGTCTCAAGTCTTAAATTCCAAAGATCAGATAAAGCCTCTGTACCAAAGCTAATGATGGTTAATGCTCTTTAAGCGTCAATGCTTTAGACAGGCTTTTTAGAATAAACTTATTTTTCCAGGGTAGTAGTAGCTTTTCTTGCCTGGCAAGATTTGATCTCAACATTTCACTAAGTTCTAGCAATTCAGGTTTCATTCTTGCACACTTTCACATTTCAGCAGAGCACTAGGAAACTCTAACCCATGCTCCTGCCCACTGGGGTTTGGGTAGAAGACAAATGCATTGTGGAGGCTGACACTCACATTTCTGGGACCTTCACCCTCGGGGATGCAGTAACACCTACAATCAGACTACTTGTCACTGAAAAGCAGTGGCAGCAACGTGGTTTTGTTTGCTTGTTAACTCACAAGATTTGCCTCCTGTTTTGAACAATTCCCTAAAGTAATGATAATTTATTTTTGTAAGAAAAATGTCTCCAAATAGCCAAGATTCATTTTCCTACAATGAGAATTTTTCCTTTTATAAATCATAAAAAGGAGTTCTAAGAGTTGATAAGGGGTTACAACTAGGGAGGAGTCTCTGGGCATTACAGTGAGGACCCCTTATAAGGCTTGGTGAGGAGTAGATGCCTGACAGGTGACCGTGGTCTTCTGGCCTTTGAATTTTAATGTCATTCTTAGGTTAAACATCACATGATAAACATAACAATCATTTTCAGTCCAAAAATTATACTTCTTCTATCTGACAGAATCCTAGACAAATCATGCTATAAGAAATATTCTAAGTTTTAAATAAAAATCTTGATATAAAATTCTACTCAAACAGTATAATGTTGAGTATGTCAAGTATGTCAAAGAAAGAGAGAAAATAAACAGGAGAAATGGGAAGAAGTACAAATACAAAAATATTCAAACATTTTTGGAATAATGGACCTAAGCAGTATATTCCTAAACTCTACTTTTCTTTTACATATGTATACATACATGTATGTAAACATACATACATGTGTGTGTGGCTTAGGCATATTTTACTGGTTTTCTTTCTTTAAAATATATTTTTAACATTCTTGAATTATTAGATACCTAATATAACTTAACAAACACATGGTGTAACATTAGGCAGGCTTTTGTTTTGGAGGGGTTTATATGCTTGTCTGGTAAACAAGGTGCAAGTAATATGCATTACTAGCAAAATTTGGGAAATCGAATTTGCTGCATGTCATATACAAGGAAACGTGTAAATATGCTCAAGAAAATCAGTCAAGGCAACAGAAATGAAATTTCGATTCTTTTTCTTACCCATTTTTCTTTTCTTCCTTCTGGAGGATTCTGATCAGGGTACAGAATAAAACCCGAATTCCTCATTTCTTTAACAAAACACTTAAACAATGCTGCTGTGTGCCAGGCACTTCATATGTATTAACTCATCTCCTCTCCAGAGCCCTCCAAGTTGGCACTTTCCGACTTGGAAATGCTTAACTCACTTAACCAGCAGCTTTGCCCACCTCTCCAACGGCCACTCTACTTGAGTTCCGTGGACCACACTCACAGGCACCTCTTCTGAGACACCATCGCCATCTCTACCCTCCCCCCAATCCCCAAAATCCGCTTGTCAAAGGCCCAGATCAGCTCCAACCAACCGTCATTAACCCTTTCCATCTTCCTGGTCCCAACTGTCCCTCCCCATTATGCTTCATGGGAGTAGAAGTACAAACCATTTCTTTGTTTATTTTACAAAGATAAAAATATCATTTCAATTTTTAAAAACCATTTATGAAGAACATAATCTCTTATGGGAATCAGACATCATATTTCTCTACCCACACTGCCTGACTCAGTGCACAAGAGAAGCTGCTCAACAGGTAACTGTCATATATGAGTAAACACACCCATTCAATCTATAAAGGAAAGACTGGCCTTACTTCTGTGTGTGGTAGATATCAGAGTCTTCAGATATCTACCACACACAGAACAGCATATGTTATCCCGTATCATTTGTTTAATGCCAAAATTGTCCACAAATGACTGCATGACAATTTATTTTATAAATTTATTAAGCATTTTCTATGTGCCAAGTACTGTGTTACATGCATCATAAGTTAGAATATTCTCCCAAAATTATTCCATAAAAGAAGGACTAGCTTTACATTCAAGATATTTTAAAGTTACATTGTAGAGGGGTCTCCATTTATTGAAAAATAATAGACGGTTTGGGGAACAAGCATTAGCCACAACTTATTCAATTATGCTAGTGTAGAGACCATCTGACAGAATCTGTTTTTTAAAATGAGTCCAGGGAAAAAGAAATTTAACTTCAGCATATTAATGATTCCTGGGGCATGACTTGACAATTGCTAGGGCTGCCAAATTTGTAAGTAAGTTTTACAAAGACACTTTTTAAAAAAGTAACAAGTTATTACATTGTGGAACCACAAACCACATGCCTACCGCTGTAGACAGAAAAAAACACCTACAGGTCTGAGAATTCATAGCTGAAGCCGAAGACAAAACTTCTGGTGCTATCATCATATATGGATTTCTTAAAACTCTGAGCAGCAAACATCTCAGAGGAAAGCAAAAATGTTCTCTGGAAAACTCTGCTTAGAAAATACTCAGAAAGTCAACTCTAATGACTACAAAAACTGGAATCAGAGTGTTTGTCCTGTTCAGAGTTTGAACAAAAGTATGTGTCTGCAGGAAATGTGAAATTAGAAGTACTACAATAATAGGTCATACATAGGTTCATATATCAGATCCCATTCTATAGGTTAATTACAATATTTCATTTCCATCGGGTAAATATTACATATTAAAAGGGCCCCAAAAAGCATTGTTTTAATCTTCCCATTAAGAAAATGAAGCCTTGCCTTATATCAGGGTCCCCTTGGACATGAGCACAGACGGTTCCTTCACAGCCACCCAGTGCATAAGGTAGGATGCCATTTTCACAGGTGAGGAAGTAGACCCAGACACAAAGAAACTTGCTGCTACAAAGTTGCAAAATGGCTCAACACAAAGTCACCTGACTTAAAGTCTGTGCTTTCAACCACCTCCATCCACCACACAAAAGAAATTTAAGAGTCACAGAGTCGACCGCCTAGATTTCCTGTATTTGACCTGAATCTCAGGTCAGCAGCTGACAATAAAACATGTGTGCTCAATCCTTTGGGTTTGTTCCCAAATTCTTAGTTATGCTACACACTTAAAACCAGTACACCTAAAATAATATTGAATATAAACTGCAACTGTAATTTTTTAACCTTTAAAAAGAATATAAACTCTCAGAAGATAAAAGTGTTAGCTGTCCAGAAAATCTATTTTTGCTCAAAATCCTAATACTTCTGGAAGGTAACATCATCCCAATAGTTTAAAGAGAACCTACAAACGATAATGATTTCTGTCACATAAATTATAATTCTGACATTCGAAGTACAAGAAGTCCACACTTTTAACTGCTTTTTATCTTGCCCTGTTCTTCCAATAAGGTAGGAAGACTGTCTCTCCCAGCTCTCACCAACCAAGCGCAGGTCCTTAACTCACCTGAATGTGCATGGCGCCCTCTGCTGCTTCTTGAATATTCGAGCAACCACTGATGAGTGACAACTGCTGTTCTGCGCTCAGAGAGCCTTTCAGAGACCCTGACTGCTCCAGCAACTTCATGTCTTTTCTATAAAGAAGGAAAGGGTGATCACTGTGAGTTTTCAAAAACAAATTTTAAAACAGAAAAGGTCAACTTCCCTCATCAGTAGATAAATAGCAATAAAAACCACAAGGATGACTACTATGAAAAGAACAGAAAATAAACCAGGTGTTAGTGAGGATGTGGAGAAACTGGAACCCTGTACACTGTTCGTAGAAATTTAAAACTTGTGGCAAACAGTTCAATGGTTACTCCAAAAGGAAAGAAGTTCGCACTGGCCAGGTAGCTCAGTTGATTAGAGACTCATCCCATACACCAAGGTTGCAGGTTTGATTCCCATTCAGGGCACAGAGAAGAATCAACCAGTAAGTGCATAAATAAGTGGAACAACAAATCTCTCTCCCCCTCCAAAAAAATCAATAAACATTTAAAACATTTATTTAAAAAGGGAGGAAATCCTGCCACATGCTATAATAAGGATACACCTTAAGGACATTATATATGCTAAGTGAAATAAAGTCACAAAAGGACAAGTAGTATATGATTCCATTTATATGCGGTCCCCAGAGTAGTCATATTCATAGACACAAAGTAGAAAGGTTTCCAGAGCTATTTAATGGGTTGAGTTTCAGTTTGGCAAGATAGCAAGAGTTATGGAGATGGGTAGTTGTACAACAATGTGAATGTATTTAATATCACTGAACTGTACACTTAAAAGTTTAAAAGTTATTATGAAAGTAAGTTTTGTGTATTTTACAATTAAAAATATTTAAAATTTCCTTTCAAAAAGGATGAAACAAGGGAGGTGAAATTGGGAAGCAGGAATTTTTCATCCTAATCTTCAGTCCCTGGGGATAAGGGTTGAAGAAAGGAACCAGCTTCCTGGTGTGTGACCCATGCAGTCACACGGGGCTCGTGGTCAGAGGGCCCCATGCTGGGTGCAATGCTCTACTGTCACAATCCTAAAGTTCTTATAAGCGTTGAGCCAAAGGCCCCTCATTTGCATTTGCACTCACCTCACAAATTATTAGTCAGACCTGCTAAAAACTCATGACAGATTAAATAAACAAGGCAGAGTGCATACACACATAAACACACTCACACAGTTGCCTAAGAAGCAACATTCACACTTTACAAAAACTTCTGTGGATTTTTTTGCCAGTGAGTCAAATAACTTTTTAAGACTTTATTTTTATTTATTTTTGGTCATTTTTTAATTTTAATAGTTGTTCAAGTACAGTTTTCTGCCTTTTACTCCCATCCCAGGCCACCCCCCAGCCCTTTCCACCTCCCTCCCATTTCTACCCCCCCTTGTTTTTGTCCATGTGTCCTTTATTTATTTATTTTTAGAGAGAGGGGAAGGGAAGGAGAGAGGGAGAAAAACATCAATGTGTGGTTGCCTCTTTTATGCCCCCTACTGGGAATCTGGCCTGCAACTCAGGCATGTGCTCTGACTGGGAATCTAACTGGTGACCCTTTCATTTGCAGGCTTATGAATGAAATTCACTGGTGTAGCTCAGGGAATTTCACTCAATTCACTGAGCTACACCAGCTAGGGCATGAGCCAAATAATTTTTACATGATTTTATGTCATAGTTTTTATCTTGAAGCTGTCAAAGTCCTTCAGCCCAAGAACACATCATTTCATCTCCTGAATTATTAATACTTGGTCTCTCATGAGTGTTGCTTTTTTTGGTTGTGGCTTCTGAGCCACATTAGTTGGCTTCTGAGCCACTTAGTTGGCTTCTAAGCTTATATTATATAAGCTTAGAGTTGTATAGAGTACAACTCTATTTTAATAGTTGTTCAAGTATAGTTTTCTGCCTTTTACTCCCATCCCAGGCCACCCCCCAGCCCTTTCCACCTCCCTCCCATTTCTACCCCCCCCTTGTTTTTGTCCATGTGTCCTTTATTTATTTATTTTTAGAGAGAGGGGAAGGGAAGGAGAGAGGGAGAAAAACATCAATGTGTGGTTGCCTCTTTTATGCCCCCTACTGGGAATCTGGCATAAAAGATGCCATATAGAGTTGTATAGAGTATTATATGGTTTGTGACAGATTCAAAATTTAAGATTTATAAGTTTGAGGGGGTCAAAGGGGTCTAATATATGGTGATGGAAGATGGTTTGACTTTGGGCGATAAGCATACAATGCAATATACAGTTCTTGTATCATAGAAATATACACCTGAAACCTATATGATCCTATTAACTGATGTTATCCCAATAAATTTAATTTTTAAAAGATTTATAAGTTTAATAGCTAAAAGAAAGAAAGAACTGATTTGAGCGCCAGCAAATAAATATCTTATACACCACCAAGGGAAATGCAGCAAAAATGATCACAAGAAAAGGTTAGCCCACTAAAATAAAAAGGAAAAAGGGAAAAGGTTTCTGAGTCTGAGGGTTTCTGGGACCACACATCAGTGACGTCCAGCAAATCTAGAACACAGACACATTCCTGATTCGAATTAGCACAGTGAGGAGAGCGCCATGTAATTGAAAGATCATTTTTCAATTTCACAACTTTAATCTATTTTTCAAAAATTGTTGCAATTATACAACCCTATAAATATACTAAAAACCATTTAATTGCACACTTTAAACAACTTGATTGCATGGAATATAAATGATAACTCAATAAAGCTGTTGCATTTGTTTCCCATTGCTCCTATAACGAATTACCACAAACTTACTGGCTTACACAACATACACTTACCATCTTACAGTCTGGAGGACAGAAATCTCAGGTAGGCCAACATCGAAGTGTTGGCAGGACTTTGTTCCTCTGGGAGGCTCTGGAGGCAGATCTGTTCCTTGCCTTTTCTAGATCCTAGAAGCCACCAGCTTTGTGTGGCTTCGTGGCCCTCTTTCACCTTCACTCCGACCTCTGACTCTTATCAGATCTTCTTCTTTAAGTCCCTCCCCCATAAGACTGGGGGAAAGAATCACATTCTTTTGTGATCATATTGGGCCACCCAGGTCATCTTCCCATTTTCATGTTCTTAATTTTATCATATCTGCAAAACCTCCAGGATTAGGACCTAGACATCTTTGGGGAGCTATTACTCTGCCCACCACACCTGTTTTTTAAAAATGTAGGACAAATAGAATAGGGAACATATATAAACTTCCTGTGCAATTACTGTCCAAAATTATGCTTAGGGGATGTGCCTATTCTAATTGGCTCTGTGCTGGGCAGGTTTTACTCCACCATGTTCTGAATTCCAATGGCTACTGAGAAGTCTGTTGTCAATCTGTCATTCCTTTATAGGTAGTCCGTCTTTTTCTCTCTCTGGATGCTTTTCAGACTTTTCAAGTGTTTCCTGGTGTTTCATAGTTTCACTGTGACTCATCAAGGGACAGATACCCTTTGTATTTATACTGCTTGGGACACTTGGTTCTTCCCAAGTGAGGATCCATGTTTGTAGCTGACATCAATTCTCAATCTCAATTTTCATAAACTGTCTCTTTCCCTAGTCTAAATCTTCCAGACCTTTAATGAACTACTTCTTCACATTTTCCATTGCTTGAACTTCCAAATTCCATGCTAAATACCACCCACGTTTTTGTGCACATTCTTCATGGGATTATTGGGCTTATGGTATGTGATCATTATACCCATATATAATGCACATCCTTATTTTTTCCTCAAAAAATTGGGCAAAAAAGTGTACATTATACACAGTAAAACAGGGTCTAACTTTAAGTCAGTTCACTGCTCATAATACCTGGTCTCTCATGTGTTTTGTGATTTTCAGTTATGAGCTGGGCTCTATCTGTGGAAATTCTTTGAGTCATGAGCTTAAGGTACATTATTCTAGAGACAATATGTATTTTGCTTCTAGCAGGCAATTGGAGACACTAATTACCAAGGGACCAATCTGAATTTCTTGGCTTGGAGTTTTTAAGACCACACAGGTAGTGGTTTATGGTTATAAACTATCAGAAAAACTCTTTCTACCCTCTATCCAGAGTCAGGTCAGGATAGATGAGCCTCTACCTATGAGTGAGTTATTTTCTTCTTTTCTCCATTTCACCAACGATGTAGCCCTTTGAATACGAACTTCATTTGGGACTCCAATTTGATCCTCCATCACCTATGGACTAAGGTTTGCTGTTAGAACCAAAGGTCTAGATTAGCAAGGTAGGCAAATGCTCTTACAGTAGTTGTAGTTTTCATACATCCCTTGTGATTCGTGCTCTCAGACTGGTCTCTGAGAAATTATGTTACTTTCTTACCTGTTCAGCTAGTACTATAAAGAAACTATAAACTATGTACACCTACTCCTTAGTTTTAAGTATTTCAAGTTATAAGGATTTTTAGCATACTTGCTTTGCCATTTTGCAGGAAACAACTCTAGACTATTTCTTTAAAGTCTGATGTTCCTAGATACTTGTTATATCTTATAATTTATGAAATGAGGCAAATTATTTACTGTCTTCATTTTTGTAATGATGATGCTATTCAATATGAATATGAGCTCTACTATTCAAATACATTTATAATACAATTATTAAGTGATTCCATTAGGCTTCTTGTTCTCACATACAGGGAAAACAATTACTGATGTTACGGTTATTTCTGCAAAGGCCTATCCTTTTGTTTCCCAGTTTCACCCATTTGGAAAAAAAGATATATAAATAATACCCAAATGTAATAAACTTAGCCTTTAAAACAAGTACACATAATTCAATGAATGCATCAAACCACAAAGACTGTTTCTCTTTTTTTCTTCAGTCTAGCTTGTTCATTTTGGTGACACAGAAAGCAAGGCCTACAGCCAAGATGGAGGTTTAGATACATAAATGCTGCCTCTTCACACAATCAAAAGGACACGAACAAATTTAAAAACAAAAAATAATCAGAACTGCCAGAAAACTAAACTGTATGGAAGACTGACAACCAAGGAGTTAAAGAAGAAACATTCATCCAGACCAGTATGAGGGGCAGAGATGGGCAGCCAAGGTGGAAGGACTCAGACTTGTGGCAAGGCAGCAGCTGGAGGACTGGGTAGTCCCACATTTG